AAGGAGGGGGCTTTGTAGAAAACGAAGCGTTTGAGAGAGGCGGGGCATAGAGGACCTACAATAATGTACAGTATTTGAAAAATAATGTGTTTTTTGAACATTAAAGCATGTCAACATATTCTGTTACACCAAATACACAAAATAATGATCTTTAAAAAAGCATCATATGACCCCTTTAAATAAATGAATACTTAGACTTGGCAATAATGCATTAAAATTGATCAACGGTGAAAATAAATTGACAATAATATTTATAACCTTACAAAAGATTTCTATTTCAAATCAATCCTGTTCTTTTAAACTTTTGGTTCTTTAAATAATCTTGAAAAAAAAATATTGCTGTTTCCACAAAAATATTAAGCAGCACAATTGTTTGCAATATTGATAATCATTCATGTTTCTCAATATCAGCCTATTAGAATGATTTCTGAAAGCTTGTGTGACACTGAAGACTGGAGTAATGACTGCTGAAAATTCAGCTTTGCTATCATAGAAATAAATTACATTTTAAAATTGTAAGGCGAGACACTGCAGGTTAATAGGGTAAAAAAAATAACTAATAGTTATCACCTTACTTACCCAGTTGATTGATTACATTGATAATTGCAAACATTTTTTGTATTACAAGTTTTGTAAAATGTTATGTTTAAATATGCAAATGATGCATTATTTAATGAAGTATGCGCTAATTTGCATACATTTCTAGTACAAAAATCTAAACACTGGATTATGTCAGTTTCAAAATTCTTGTTTAATTTTTTTGACATATTAGAGTCAAATGTTTTTACAGAGGGAATTCTGGGTATCTCTTTTTGCCACTCCATAATTCAGAAAATACTACAGCCAGAAAACAATATATTTTCACAATTTTGGGGGGAATAAAATGTTGTATATAATCAAGAAAATTATATATGAACAAATCCCTCTGTAAAAACCTTCAGAATATAGACAGGAATAAAAATTTAAAGTTTGGTGTGTGTAAATGCTACTGAAGTGGAGATTTACGTCTCAGTGTTGGAGAAAAAACTCATTTTGAGAAAACGGCCTTTAAAAATATGTATTGTAATTGAAATCTATTGACACAAATAGATAAAGTGCTATAAAAGAAACACTTAACAGTGTCTTTTGGATGTTTTCTTTCCACTAGTCTGAAAAAACACTTTATGAAAAACCAAAAAGCCCAAAATCTCAAAATTGACAGGTGCATGAAAAAACAGTGTTTTTGCCTGCAGTGTCAATAGAAAACAGCTTGTTTTAAATTGTAATAAAATTTCACAATATCACTGTTTTTACTGTATGTTTGATCAAATAACGCAGCCTTGGTGAGCATAGGAGATAAAATCATTGCAAACCCTAAACTTTACATCTCTATACATCAATAATGATTATTTTATTGGCTTTAATATGGCACTTTACTCATGTTATTATGGGCCAGGCTTAATGCAACACTCTGTTTCATAATAAAAATTATTTAATGGGGGTCCCTGCACCATCTGTCTATCCACCAAAGGGTCCTTTAGCATTAATTAACACATTACCATATTATCATTTGGATTAAACTGTACTGAAAATATAAAATATTTAAAAAAAACATAAAATGGAGTACCTGGCTGAGAACTGAAGCGCCAGCATTTATAAGAAGCCGCAAACACATCAGTTTATCTTCTGCTTGAGTCTGTAGACTGCCATCAGCCAACCATGTTGAGGATGAGGAGGAGGCATTTATGGCCTTCATCATGGCACAGTGAGAGATCACTGCACAGTGCAGAGGAGTCAGGCCTAAAAAAACAGGCAGAAGCCAGGTGGGCTGTATATTATTGTCTCCTCAGATGCCACTGTAACTGATGCTTATGGAACAATATGTAAAGGTTTATACCTTCAAAATTACGAGCTTCCAGGTCCACTCGCAGTCCAGCAAAGAGTATAACCTAGAACATAGAAGTTTAGAAGCATGCTTTTTTGATTTTGAATGGTTTGCATATGGGTGGTCTCTCACCTGCATGACACGAGGGAAACCATAGGTGGCAGCCAGATGAAGTGCAGTTTGACCGTTGACGTCACAGATGCTGATGTCCGCACCTAGAGAGAGTAGATCCTGGACTATATCTGGCTGACTGGCAGTTACAGCCACCAGCAAAGCAGTCTGGGTTTCAAGAGAACAGAAAGTCAGTGAGTGCATTCATAAAAATCTCCCTGGTACATTTATTGTTGTGATATTCACCTTGCCCTTATGTTCTTTAGAGTCCAACTTCCCCAGTTCGCGAAGTTTCTCCGCAGCAGCAAAAGCATATTCCCTCAGGCCTTTCGCAGTATAGATGTGTAGAATGCTAACAGAGAGTAAGAACAGAGTTTCAGTTTTCGTTTACAGTGCAGAGCTGTCTAATAGCCTCTGTTTTAGTCACATTTCCATAGGATTTACGCTCACACTGTGGTTTCATTAGTTTAGAAACACACAAGACCTTGAGGACCCCTCTGGTAAAACACCTAATGATGTGGTAATCTGCGGATCCATTAACTGAGTGATTTACAGTACATAAATACAGTTAGAAGAACACAGATTTTAATGTAATGTATCTAAAATTGTACACATAAATTCTTAAAAAAAAAAAAAACTAGAAAGAATAATTATGGAACTTTTAGAAATGATTAATTCAGAACAATTATTAAAACATGGAATACACTACACGATTTTTGCACCAATTTTCCACCGATTTACAGTCTGGAGAAATTGACGCTAGTTGCCGAAAGTCAGAGCCAGTCTGCAGATTTGAGTTGACAGAGCCCATAGAAAATCACGTAGTGTATGATGATTCCATCCAAACATGTTTGATATTTTCAGCCGATTTTAGAACACATGTTGTTTTCATTTGCCATACGTCTCCTAGCAACAAGGCGCACATTTCTGCTTGAGTTTGTTGTGATCAGAACAACTTGTTACTGGTAGTGCATGATTTCCTTTGTCACTATTTACAAAGTCAGTAAGTGTATGATGCCTAGTGTTTTAAAAATATGTCCAGATTTTAAAAGTCGTGTAGTGTTTACCAGCTTTTAGTTTTTGGGCAGTCACACCACCCATTGACAACATTTACTGAAAAAGCACAGAAACACTGTTTAAAAGAATAATAATAAACGAAAATTTTATGCCAAACTACTTAATTTTATTAATAATTTTATTGACCCATTTTCTTGGAAATAGATAGATAGATAGATAGATAGATAGATAGATAGATAGATAGATTGATTGATTGATAAATTAATTAATGAATTCTTTCATTCATTACACGTTACTTTTATAATGTTACACACGCTTTTTATTTCAAATAAATGCTGTTCTTTTTAACTTTATGGTCATCAAAGAATTCTGAAAAAAAATGTTTTTAACACTGATGATAAAAAATGTGTTTCTTGAGCACCACATCAGCATAATAGGATGATTCCTGAAGGATCATGTGACACTGAAGACTGGAGTAATGTCTGCTGAAAATTCAGCTTTGCATCACAGGAATAAATTTCATTTTTCAAAATGTATTAAAATAGAAAACAGTTATTTTTGGACTATTTTTGCAGCCTTGGTTAGCATAATACATTTTTTCAAAAACATTTTAATCTTATTTTCTGACTTACGTGTCCCCGTCATCATCCTGCCAGGTAGTTCTACTGTAATCCATGTTCTGCAGGAAGACTCTGGCCTCCTGCAGCTTCACGATATCCATCTGGGACCTGAACTCTTGGAGAAGGTATGGGCTTGTGTGATCCTCTGCTCTGGATTCAGATGGCCAACACAAGCTGGGGCTCTGAATGGAGACAGTCCCAGCCATATCAGTCCCGTCTGCAGTTACAGGGCACTCTGTTATAGACTGTGAGAACAAATAATAGATTGTTTTTTTTTCCATCCATAATATGGACAAATTCCTTCGATTTTGTAAGCCCTCAATAATCATTCTGCACGAAATGCTTATAGAGCTCTTACATATTGCTGTGTTGTCTGGGCATCCTGGCAGTCTTGCATCTGCTGAGGGCTGTAGCCAGTGGCAAGCGTCTGTCCAGTCTGGGTAAAGTTTGGTGTGATGGAGGAACTAGACATGAATGTGAACGGGCTGCACTGCTGTAGGGAGGAATGTGCCTGATGAATGCTGGGAACTTCCCATCGGTCATATCTAACTGCTCCCATGTCTGTGTAGCTTGCACTGGCTCCTGCAAAGGAAAGCTATAATTTTTAGATGTAATTGAAAATCTAAATGTCACCGAAAACCCATTTTATAAGCAAAACCCTCAGACTCACCGGCAGTGGGAGATTGTACTGATGCCAACACCTGTTGGAAACATTTTGGAGGATGATTAAAGTCGGTCATATCAACCTCAAGACATACATACCTAGAAATATAATAACTGAACTCACCGGGACAGATGCAGCACCACCAGCAGTGTAAGATGCTGTAGAGCAGGAGGGAGGTGCTGAAGAGGTCTCTCTCTTTCTCTTCTGCTCCAGGAGTTTCTTCACTGTGGGCAGAGGGTAACACACCTTTTCCTTCTGTGCTGTGGACACATGAATTAACCATCGTTATATTTATGATAATATGTTTTTTTGTTCAAATGCTGTTATATGATATATAGCCTATACCATTCAAAAGTTTAATACATCAGCAGTAGCATATTAAATGGATGGAATGTGAAAGTAAAGATAAATGTTGCTCTTTTGAACTTTCTGTTCAAAACTTTCTATTTCATCCTGAAAAAATGTATCATGGTTTCAACAAAAAATATTAAGCCGTACAACTGTTTTCAATAATAAGAGCACCAAATCAGCATCGAAGAATCGTGTGACACTGAAGACTGGAGTAATGATGCTGAAAATTCAGCTTTGTCATCACAGGAAAAAATTACTTTTTAAAAGATATTAGAATAGAAAACAGTTATTTTAAAGGGTAACAGTATTTCACAATATGTTTTTACTGTATATTTGATCAAATAAATTAAGCCTTGGTGAGCATAAGAGACTATTTATATTACAATAATATAACGGTGGAACTTTATTTACTAGAAGTAGTGACAATCTTGTCCAAACAAATAATTTTATTAAAGAAAATAAATGCTACTAAATATTTAATATATATAATTAATCAGGGAAGGTGAGCAGGGTATTGTAGATCTGCAAATCTGACATTTCTATTAAAACCATTTGTTTTACAATAACTTTTTAAGCATTCAAGTCAAGTAAAACATACATCATATAACCATATTCAACATATCTTGCTGGATGCACATTTATTGTTGTTGTTTTCAAGTAAATCGGATTGATTTCTCCAGTAATGTGATTTCCCCAGGGCCATTTTTAATAACAGGTGCTGGTATGACTTCAAATGTATTTTCTTCGTGTTAGTCACCAAAAGAAACTGAAGAAGACAAGAATGCAAATAGCGGAGGTTTCCAGTGGGCATCAGTTACGCATTCTAGAGCAGAGGGAAAGAAAGTTTCTTCAAAATCTTGACCCCAAATGTGAGATAAGAAATACATTTCCACCGGAGGAGCATAATTCTCATCCTCTCACCCGTGAGGAAGGTATTCCATTTGGAAAAGAGGTGCTGAGGTCACATCTACCTGTCTTCTTCATCAGAAACCCTGCGTCTATGGAGCCGGTTCTCACAGCACGCTCTCTGTAACTATTTCCTTTTCTCCGTTACGCTCTTCGTGGCAAACCACATCTTCTTCCTGCATCAGTGACGTACGTCCTTCACAGGGGCCCATCAGAGGTGTATGAACAGATGCTACTGATTCAGAGTAAGATTTGATGCCTGCCTAACTTTTCACTGAGTGGCAGTAATGAGCTGAAATCAGCTGCATAGGTCACAGCTAAATTGCAATACTTCATCTCGCCACTAGGAATAAAACAGCTCTAATATACATATTTATTGAATTACTTCTTTACGCACAGATATTTCTTTCAAACATTGTAGTGTAAGAGAAACACTTTTAAGTTATTTTATTATATTTTATGGGTATGTCAGAATATACTATGCACCTCCATGTTCTGATAATAGTTTGTTTTTTATATAACTACAATAACAGGTTTTAGGTTGATTTATCTATTTGTAGTTTAGACAGAAGAACGAGTTGCGTCTTATTCTGCAATGTATCCCTTTACAGGAAAAGTAACTGGTTTCAGCAAAACATTAAGTAGCCTAATTCTTATGATGAAGGGGATTCAAAAGAGGAAGATGGAAATTCCGCTGGGCATAACCTTGAGGGGATCATTCCTTTCCTTATCTCTCTTGTTTGTTCTCCATTCCATGTTATTTTAATTACTCCACTTCTCAGTCTCACTTTTTAAAGCTGACTCAAAAAGTTAAAAGGAAAGATAATCTGCTGCTCAACCCTGTACATTACATGTGGTTGTGTATAACTGACTCAAAGAAATACACAAAGTTCTATATTTCTGAAAGATTAAGAAAAAAGCTGGAGTTAAAACAATGGTTATAATATCTTTACAGATACACAAATTCAGAAAGTTATATCAAAATGTCTCAATATGTATTTAAACGATTTAGATTTATTTACATTGTGTAGGAGAAAGCAGAGAGTGGTTTAACACGGGGTGAGTTCAGCTTAACCAATTAGAGTACATGACCATTACCTTTTTGAGGTTACAGTAATTCCAATAATATAAAGTATTTACATCCACACACAGGACGATGTCCAGTGCACCTCTGTTGAACCCACAAAGATCATAATAGGACAGTATTGACCTACAGTTTCCACAGTTGAGATGTGACTAACACACAGTCTACTATATTTTTAGAATGGTTATACATATTTTTTTGTACTTTTATTTGAATTAAAAGTAAAATGAAATTAGAATGAAGTGGTCATCATGGTGGATGACCCTAAGCCTAAGCCATTTTTAATAAGCAAGTGGGGTATCAGCGGAGTAGATTGTAACAACATCTTTGTAGCTGACATTAATTCACATAATTTAGACACAAAGTGTTAGTTATAAGAGATTAATGTGGAAATGTTATATCAACGTTTGAGAGACGCTGAAAATGTGTTACAACAACCACCAAACGTTAATGATGTAGAAAACACCTGACATTCATATTCTTTAAGCAGGCTATCTAATAACAATGCTTCCATCACTAGCAAAAGTTTCAAAGGTCACATATTTACAGATACACAAGATTGATTTTTATGGTTAAAATGTCCGAAAGAGTGGGCTTTAGCGGCTGGGATACCCTCGCACCTCTATCTTGTAATTTCAAAGAGGGAAATCCCTGGCCAGTGAGTCACGCGCGTGAGTGTCATCGCGGGGATTCCGTAGCTCTCGCTCCGCTATCTGACTCTAGACACAGTTACAAAAATCTTAGATGGCACTTTATTCCTAAACACCTGGCATATTCCACATGACAGTTTGTACCAGTAGCCAATTAGAAATGCCTGCTTTAAAGTCGACACATATATTTTCTTTATCATTTTCACAAGCTTTTCTCTATAAAAATGAGACCCACACCCATTAAAAACGGGAAATGAAAGTTGAACAGGGAGGAGTTATTAAGGGGTTTGTCCAAATAGCTGTAAAAATGAACTCAGTGACTGACAGTACTCTACGTTGCTGGGGGATCCTTTATTCAAATGAGTTAAGTCTATTTTTAAACGGTCATACATCACCGAGCTTACGTCACATAAAAAAACATGTAAACAGCAAAAGATAAAGGTAGTATCGCATATGTTGTTTCCAGCAAAAATACTTGTATTTAATAGCCTTTGTGTATTTAGTTAAATGACCTATTAAACGCTAATGTCAATTTATTAGTGGTCCTTTAACCCGAACACTTACTTTACTCTCTCTCTCTCTCTCTCTCTCACACACACAC